AGGCAGTTCTGCGCTGCTGGCAGTATGAGAGCAGGGAGGGAGGGCCTGATGATCAGGAGGCAGATCCATACCCCAGGTCTCAGAGCCTCAGTTTCCATGGAGATGACTCCTGGTGATGAGATATTTTTCCCTTTGTATGTTTACTAAGAGCTGCTGCACCAGCCCTGAGCACTCTACGCTGACATCTCGTTTTGTTCTCAGAACACTGTGAGGTAGTATTATTGATGGTTCTGCAACTCAGTCATCAAAAAACAAAACATTCCCCCAGCACAAAACCCCAACAAATGTATTTAAAAATAATAATAATAAATAGAGGCACTGTCACCATTTCTCTCAGTATTGCTAAGGGAACTAAATGTTGTAATGAGCACATAGAGACTAGTACCTGGGTTCTTCCACAGGTTTTATCACCTTCTCTTGCAATACAATTCTAGCATGAAGAAGTCAAAAGAAAGACTGCATGTCCTTTCCTTACCCACTTTAGGGGTGTGGGGGGTCATGGAGTAGGCAGCATGGAGAACAACAGCCCTGCCCTCATGGAGATCACAGGCCCGTGCGGGGGAGACCAACTCTAATGATAAAATATCCACTTATTAAAGCTTAAAAGGGTGCTACAAAACCCCCAATATGGTGGGGGGCAGGAGAGGCTTCTCTGAGGAACTCATGTTTCAGGGGGAACCGAAGGAAGAACAGGAGCTGGCTGTGTGAGGAGGTTGGGAAAGGTGCTCTCGGCACAAGGGACAGCTCTGAAGAGGGAAGAGTTAAGGCATGGTGGCCCAGGCGTAGCAACTAAGGGGAAAGTGGTACAGGACAGGGCCAGAGGGGTTAGGCTTAAGGCCTCTCATCAAGGATTTTGTTTTTTATTCTAAGAGCAACCAACATTCACTGGAGGGTTCTGGGTATTTTTCAGATTAAAAAAAATTTTTAATTGTGGGAAAATACATATAAAATTTACCAACATAACCAATTTTAAATGTATAGCTCAGTGGATTCATTAAGTATTCAGATTACTGTGCAATCACCACCACCACCCATCTTTAGAACTCTCCATCTTGCAAAACTGAAACTCTGTATGAAATAATAACTCCCTATTCTCCACTTTCCCAGTCCCTGGCATCCACTATCTCATCTCACCTAAGTGGAATCATACGATGTTTGTCTGCTGTTAGCAGTTTATTTTGCTTAGCATAATGTCCTCAAGGTTATTCCATGTGGAAGCAAATGTCCAGCTTTCCTTTTCTTTTTAAAGGTGAATAATTGTAGGTATAGGCCACACTGCACGCCTACCACTGTATGTATAAACTACATCTTGTTTATGTATGCATCTGTTCTAGGTATTTATGGATACCTACATGGCTTCCACCTTCTGGATGTTACGAAATAATACTTTCATGATGTGAGTGTACAAATATCTATTCTGGACCCTGCTCTCAGCACTAGTGAAACAGAATTTCTGGATCATATGGTAATTTAATTTCATGAGGAACCACAACAGTGTTTTCCATAGTGGCTGCACCATTTTATATTTCTACCAAGAGTGCACAAGGGTTCCAATCTGTCCACATGCTGGATAATGCGTGTTATTTTCTGGGTTTTTTTTGGTAGTAGCCATCCTAATGTATGTGAGGTGGTATCACTGTAGGATTTCAAGCCAGGGTTTTAACCTCAACTATGTTTTAAAAAGACAGGTCCCACGACTGTGAGAAATTGACTGAAGGGTAGGTAGTAAGCTGGAGGAGAAGTAGGGAATCTCCTTTACGTACCACGTAAAGGCTGCACGGAAGAGGGGCAGAGATAGACGGGTGGCCACAACCACGGAGGCAGGTGGTTTGCAAGCCTAAGAGGAGTGGAGTGGGTTCAAAATGGTTATTGCTAATTAGACAAAATACAACAAAGTTTCTAGGCAGTTCTGATGACTGGGAATTTACAGTGATGTCCAGCTTCCTCTAAAACCAAGGAGGTCAATGCGGATGGCAAAATGGAATATAAAGTGAAAATAATGGGGTCTAATATGTAACAACAACAAAAAAAGCCTTTTGAACACAACAATCTGACTATGTACATCATCAGTTGGACAGAGTTGAACAAAAAAAAATGAAAAGAGATTGTATTTCGAACTTTACTTGATTTGTTCTTTGTTGATACTGATGTGGCAGTTCAGAAACTCTGTGTATATGTTAGGATCAAACAATTGAATAAATATGTTGGTGCTGTTGGAAATTGGAGTTCTCACCACAGAAGAGAGATACAAGTACGGAATAAAAGAGTAAGAAGCCCATAGTGATTAGATTAAAAATGAAAGCCTCAGTTTAACATTTAAGAAAAGGCCTTAAGGAAAGAGTTTCCAAGCTCTATGCATTCACTGAAAGGGCTGGGAAGCCAAGGTATCCTCAGTATTAACAAGCACATTCAGGGCCCAGGTTTTGGTTCTTAAATATGATTCCCCACTAACAGAAGTCAAGACTTCTGAGAAAACCGGCTGATTTCAAGGCAGGGCCAAGGAAATGACAAGGTGAGGGTGGAACATCTCACTGTTCTAGCAAGTATGAGATGCTTGACCAATGATGGGGACATGTCACAAGGATAGAGGAGGTAGTGTGAAAGGGTTTCCACTGGTCAACTCCTCAACAACAGCAACAGCAACAACAGCAACAGCAATGACAGAAACAGACCATAACCTAGAATACAAAAGAATCCTTATGTCTATACTGGTATTTTAAAAAATAAAAAGTAAAGGGGACAGGAAGAATAGAAAACTTTTTTTTTTGTACAAAATGCTGATTAATGTGGAAAGAATGACTAAGATAGAAAATTACCCTCTTCCAGGCGTCACTGTTTAACGGACTCAGGTGAGAACACTGACAGATGCTGAGACGGCCAGATGAAAGACCGCTAGGAAGCAGAGTACTCAATGTCTGCTGGTAGAATCCCGCAGATCACTTCTTAAGCATGAAGGAAAATAGACACCTTTACTAGAGAGGGAGCTGGGAGATACTGTCATAACCAAGTGATCAAACTGAACAGAGCCAACGAGACAGACGTCTGGGCTTGATATGAGATGCTGGTGAGAACACAGGAGTGCTCTTGTTGAAAATGTTCAGTCTGAATCAAAGATGACCAGATAACCTAATAAATCTGATCATGAGGAAACAATCTGAACATTCTACACAATAAATGACTTGGAATCTTCAAAAATACCAAAGCCGTGGAAAACAAACATCTAGAAAACTGTTCAGGATGAAAGACAATTAAGGAGCCATGAAAATAAATGCAATATGGGATCTTTGGTTGGGTAAGAAAAAACCCTCAAACTAAACACTCAAAAACTAGCTAAAAAGGACATTGCACGACGGCTGCAGAAATATCAATGTAGATGGTGTATTAAGGGATACTCCTGTATCTGCGCTACATTTCCTGATTGTGAGAGCTGTGTTAAGATTATAGAAGAGAATACCCTTGTACGAACCAGGAGCTACTGCTGAAATATTTAGGGGTGAAGGTTAACAAAGCCTGGAGATAATTCTCAGGTGGTTTGGGGATCCCTGGGTGGCTCAGCGGTTTAGCGCTGCCTTCGGCCCAGGGCATGATCTTGGAGACCTGGGATTGAGTCCCACATCAGGCTCCCTGCATGGAGCCTGCTTCTCCCTCTGCCTATGTCTCTGCCTCTGTGTGTGTGTCTCTCATGAATAAATAAATAAAATCTGAAAAAAAAAAATTCTCAGGTGGTTTAAGAACAGAATAGCGCATAGAAAAAATAAGCAGATGTGGCAAAATGTTAAGAACTGGTAAACTTCGGTGATAGGTATATGGGTGTTCACTGCAATATTTCTGTAAACCATCTTTTCTGTAAGGTAGCAAATTTCAAAAAAAGTCAGGAGAATGAGAAAATGAGCCAGACTGGGAGAAAATATTTGCAAAACACATATATGATAAAAGATGGTTAGCTAAAGTATACAAAGAACTCTTAAAACTCAACAGTAAGAGAACAAACCAATCAAAAAATGCCAGAGACCTGAACAAACACCTCACCAAATAAGCATATGAAAAGATGCTCCAGGTCATCATAGGTCACCTGGTAACTGTAAATTAAAAGATACTACTACACGCTAATTAGAACGGTCAAATCTGAAAAACTAATACCACCAAATGCTGACAAGGATGTGGAGCAACAGGAACTCTCATACACTGCTGGTGGGAATGTGAAATGGTACTGCCACTATGGAAGCCACTACAGCAGTTTCGTACAAAAATAAACATACTTGGGGGTCCTGGGTGGCTCAGTTGGTTAAGTGTCTGCTTTTGGTTCAGGTCATGATCCTGGGGTCCTGGGATAGAGCCCCTGCTGAGCAGGGAGCCTGCTTCTCCCTCTCCCTCTGCCCCCTGCTCATGTTCTCTGGCTTACTCTAACTCAAATAAATAAAAAAAATCTTAAAAAAAAAAAAAGGTAAAGGTTAAACATACTCCTACACTGCCAATAGTGAAGTGAATGTAAAATATGGAATCTGAGTGAGAATGTATATTGATGCAGGTTCTTCCATTATAACAAATATACAGTATGCTGATAGTGGAGGCTGTGTCGAGGTGGCTGGAGGCAGACCTATTCATGTAAACTCTCTGCGCTTGTTGTTCAGTTTTGCTGTTAACCTGAAACTGCTCGAAAAAATTAAGTCCATTTAAAAGAAAAAGCTGGAGGTGGAGACCAGATTAGGCACACCTTTTCTCCAGGAGCCTATTCTTACTGACTCCATTGGCCTGATTCCACCTCTCCCCTGTAGCCACTGAAACACTTGTGGACTCAGGCTTACATCATTTTATTTCACGTGGCATTTCCCATGTGAATCTTCTCTTAAAATAAATTGAAAAACAGAAAAGAGAATTGAAAAATGGCTATGCCCAAGAGACAAAGACCATTCTATTAATTTTTCTTGGCTCTCTGAACTTCTCCACCCCGTTCCATTGTTTCTTCTTTTTCCCAGGGAAAAGCCATCCCTTAGAAGTACCTGTGGAAGTCACCCAGGTGTTCTGAATCGATATAATCATCCAAGTTCAGGGTCAAATCTGATACCTGCTGTGACCCAAATTCCTAGAAAAATGAAAACAGAAAACGAGAGACGGGATATTTCTGGGCTAAGGGGAGAATAACAATTAAATATTCAATTTAAAGAAATACAGATGCACAAAGAAATATACCAGGAACATCTGTGATATGTGAAACACCCTTCAGATGCTTGATTTAGAAATACTGCCTTTCTGAGGCAGAGCCCAGTAAACCTATTTCTGGGCACAGGCATATAACTGAGGTGTCAAATGGATGCACGTCTTTGGCTTAGAGGTGGGCAACATGGAAAAGCAGGCCCAGCAAGGGGCAGACATCTCCCTAATGAGGGGGCAGCAGATGCATCAGTGGTTCATGAGAAGGGGCTCTAGGGCCTGGAGCATAAGTCAGCACCTCATGCAGCAGCAGCTCATGTCTGGGGTGGTGGCGGCAGCACTAATTTCCATGGGGTGGTTTGAGGCACTGTCTTGAAAGCCCAGACTTGAACCTATTTTAGAGAAACAATTCCTTCTAACAATTCAATAAGCTACCCCAGTTCTATTAATAAACCTAGTCTGTTTAACTAACTTGAGGGGATTTCTATAACTAAGAACCCTGTCTGATACAAGATCTAAATGTTCGTCAAAACAGAAAAGGGTAAGGTGACCATAAGAGAAGGGATGGAAAAATAAAATAAGATAAAAACAGAGCAGGAGGCAAACCATAAGAAACTCTTAACTTTAGGCAACAAACCGAGCACTGCTGGAGGGGAGGGGAGTGGGGGGATGGGGTAACTAGGTGATGGGCATTAAGGAGGGCATGCGATATAACTGGGTGTTGTATGCAACTCATGATTCGTTAAATTCTACCCCTGAAACAAATAAATACACTCTATGTTAACTACATTGAATTTAAATAAAGGAAAAAAAAACCAGAAAGGGATAAATTATGGTATTACAGAAAACTACATAGTAGTTAAAATTAATAAGGTGTATCTCTATGCATTCCCACGTAAAGACCTCCAAAATATATTGCTCCAAAAAAGCAAGGTACAATGCAATTTTATACGAGCACATGGAGACAACCAGGACAAACTTAAGAAGACAGTCACTGCCCTTGTGGTGCTTACAGGCCAGTGGCGGAACACAAACATCAAACCAAAGGATAATTACATGGTTACAAACTGTTGTAAGTACCAGCAAGGAAATAAAAGGATGAAGTAGAAAGGCATAATTTAGATTTTGCTGGCAGGTTAGAGTAGGTAGTTAGAAGGGAAGAGGGTGCATATGGGGTGGCTCATGGTGGCAGGGAAAAGTTTTCCATCCCTGAAAAGGAGAAACGTAAGGGCACCAGGATAGCAGAGAGCAGGCTTCTCTAAAGGACTAAAAGTAGCCCCTTGGGCCTACAGTATGCTTTTTTCATCCCTATTGTCACTGAAAGGATTTACCCTAATTTATGTAATCATTCCCCTGTGATGGAAAGTCCCTCCCTTGATAATACTAGAAGGTGAACCTCTTTGAGCACAAAGCTGTTCTATACTGAGGATTCCTGTCTTGGTTCCAAGAGTAAGGTCATTGGGTAAAGTCCTCACAAACATTTAAGGCTCTTGATCTGTACTGTTAAATGAGCAACACAAAAGTGATCCCAATGTCCTCTCCCACCAGCAGATGCCAACACATCCCTGAGACTCACCAGCACATTGATGATCATGCTGTTCTCTACAGTGACAGCCTTCACAAGGAGCTTTCTGGACCCATCCTTAGACTCATACCGGAGGACATACAGGTCTTTATTGCTGTTCCATTCAGCCGGCAGCAGTTCTGATTTCTTATCATTGGAACCTGGCTGAGAAGACACCAGGATTGAGAGGAGTAAGTTCACAACCTCAGAACACAGAGCTATGAAGGATTTTAGAGATAATCTAATTCCACTTCTTCATTTCACAGATGAGGACATGGAGGTCAAGAGAAATAAAATGTCCAAGTTAAGAGGTCTGGGACTTAGGTCTCTGGACTCCTGCTCCAGTACTCCTTCCCTTGTAGCTGACTGCCTTGATGACACAGTACTAGAACCTGTCCAGAATCTGTAGCCTTGTTTTAGTAAGAATCTCCTCTCCACCCCCCCGCCAAGAATAAGGCCAATTTCCTGAAGGGATAATGTGAAATTCTAAGACAGTGTTTTTTCTAAGTTCAGAACCTGGACCATCTGCAACAGGATCACCAAAGTGTTGACTAAAAATAAAGATTCTAGGGTAATCCCTTCCATACTGTAGTGGTTTCACAGAAATGATGAACAATTTTCATACACACATAAAATGTAGCATATGTATGAGATAAAACATTATCAAGCGGATACCTGTACATGTGCCACCTGCTTAAGAAATAGAACACCACCACCGCCAAAGCCTCAAGTACAGTACTCCCTAATGAATCTCTCTCCTTTCCCTCTTGGGTAATCGCTACTCTGCCTTTTTAAAAATTTCTTTACTTTTCCTTTTAGCTGTGTTACTATACAAAAAACCCTAAAAATATACTGCTTCAAATGTTTTTGAATTTGTATCACCTTCATCACTTCCTTTTTCGTTCAATATTATGAGATTTCACTGTGTCAAAACATTTAACCATATATAGTCCACTATGCAGCACTCCATTGCAGTACAGTTCATGGCTGTATATAGTGTGGAGTTTATGAGCATGCTGCAAGGTACTCAATCACTTACTGATGGATACGTGGACTGTGTACAGGTGAGCTGTTATAAATGATGCTGCTATGAACACTTGTGCATACATCTGCTGACAGGTGGATGAATTTCTATAGAATATTTGTGGGAAAAGAACTTTTAATTTCTAAGGTAAAGTCAATGAGAGTTCTTGTAGTTCCATGTGGCCAGCAACATTGTCACTGTCCAATTTAAAAATTTTTGCCAACCTGGTGGGTGTAAAAATGCATCACTGTGTGTTGTGAGGTCTTCTTTTTCCTTTTAACTTATCCTAGGACTTTCCTTCTACACCCTGAAGTTTGAGAAATCGTTTTTGAACTATTTCTATAGGAAAAAGTAATATAGTGATTTCTAGGTGGGGAAAGAGTTCTTAAGATCTGCAAAAGAAAAAATGTACTATCTTTGAGACTATTCTAAGTTTAAAGCTTCTGTTCAACGACAGACACTGCAACAGTATCAGACAGCAACAGGCCAGGCGAGAGTGAGATATTTGCCATGGTTACAAATGAAAAAGAATTAATAACTAGCACATTAAAGGAATGCCTGGAAAATGAATGATGATAAAGCCTGGAAACCTGGGGATTCCTGGGTGGCTCAGCAGCTCAGCAGTTTAGCGCCTGCCTTCGGCCCAGGGTATGATCCTGGAGTCCCGGGATCAAGTTCCATATCGGGCTCCATGCATGGAGACTGCTTCTCCCTCTGCCTGTGTCTCTGCCTCTCTCTCTCTCTGGGTCTCTCATGAATAAATAAATAAAATCTTAAAAAAAAAAAACAAAACAAAACTGGAAACCCACTTGGAAAACCTGGCAAAAGATATGAACGAGCAAAAGAGCAGACAACAGTATATAGAGGGCTATTCAACTTTATTGGCACTCAGAAAAATGTAGGTTGAAACAATGGGTGCCATGTCACACCCATCACACAGGTATTACTCATTTCTTGATTTTTTGTTCATATGGGTGTGAGGACAATGGGGACCCTCAGACACGGCAGGTGGCCACTGAAACTGCTGCAAATCCTCTGGAAAGCAGCCTAGCAGTATGTGGTACCCTCAGGTAAGCTGACACCTTGTGACCCCAAACCCCCATTCTTGGAGGAAACCCTGTGCACAAAGGCACAGGGGACATGACAAGGGATCTTTGTCATAACCTAGTCATGAACAACAAAGTGGAGGTGAAATAAAAAAAATAAGCTCACAATGGAAGACTATGTAGGAGCTAGAAGGAACAAAAAGATCAAATTGTAACACCACAGATAAAGGTAGAAAATAGAACTTAAAATATAACTTAAAAAATAGTGGTACTTGGGTGGCTCAGTGGTCGAGCATCTTGCCTTTGGCTCAGGGTGTGATCCCGGGGTCCTAGGATCAGGTCCCATATCAGGCTCCCCGCAGGGAGCCTGCTCCTCCCTGTGCCTATGTTTCTGCTTCTCTGTGTCTCTCATGAATAAAAATCTTGCTTCTCTGTGTCTCTCATGAATAAAAATCTTGCATACGCGCGCACACACACACACACACACACACACACACACACACACTTAAGGGGTGCCTGGATGGCTCAGTCTGTTGGCTGCCCGACTCCTGATTTCAGCTTAGGTCCTGATCTCAGAGTCATGAGTTCAAGCCCTGTGTTGGGCTCCACACTGGGCATGGAGCCCACTTTAAAAAAAAAGTTTATATATATATAAACACATAGAAAAACTTAAATTTTTCTTAGAACTTTAAGAAAAAATGAGATTTATAGCCAGGTACCATCTATGTAAAAAAAATTTTAAGACATACAAAAGTAACCTATATATTTTTTTCAATACCTATTTACATGGCTAAACACAAAGCAAGTAGATTGGAAAGATCTGAACTCAGGAAAATATGGTGGGAAAAGTTGGACCAAAGATGACGAACAAGAGCAAGAGACAAAAGTTCGGCACCACAGTCCTTACACACACCAAGGACAACAAGAGGCCAAGAGCAAAGAATTGTGGGCCTCTCCTCTCTGATCACCCTTGGTACTCAGGAGTCCAATGGGAGAAGTGGTCCCAAATACAATTCAAGATGTTGCAACTGGTGTGGTTTCAAAGCTGGCTGGATGACAAGGAAACTCACAGGCCTGAAGCAAAGAAATGAGAGTGACAAAAAACGAAAGTGATACAAATCTGCCAAGTGAGAAAGAGAAACAACAATCCCTCACCTCCAGCTGGGTACATTTCCCCTAACAGGTTTAGTGGATTCAAGGTTTACTCTGGAAGCTAAGATTTTGATAACTGTGCCTTGTTGTTTGTTCTGTCAGAGGTCTTTGAGTTTATATGTGTATCTTTCACATACAGCATTTAACCCACCAGAAGTTTTCCTTGGAATATAGATAATCCTGCCTGCTCACTCTCCTACAGACTCTGGCTTCTGGGCAAGAGAGAACCCTGGGGTTAGATGAGGCTGATGCCTCTCACTGCAGGGGGACTGATGGTCCCAGCCCACGGGCCTGCTCTGATATAAGGCAGATGGAACCAACAGAGATCAGCCCTGGTGATATCAGGTCAAATAGGGCATTTCAACTGTCTTCTAGGCCCCGACATCAAATATCAGGCACCCCCAGAAAGCTGTACCTGGAAAGTGGCCAAAGCATATGGCTGTGTAGTTGAACACCCTCAGATGAAAAATTTAAGGGCTCAGAGAGGCTGAGAATCACCTAAGGTCACAGTAACTCAGATGCAGAGCTGGGTTTGGCATTCAGAGCTCCTGGTTGCTTGGTCTACGGCTGGAAATTTTTCCCAGCCAGGGGACTGGCCTCAGGAAAGTAAAGATAGTTGTCTACATAGGCAAAATCCTGGGGCTAGAAGCATTCTGCAGTGGCTATGAGTTTATCCCAGGGTCTCTCTGGGCTAAAATGCACCCAAAAAAAACACAACCAGATCACTCTGGGCATTTCCTCTCTTTTTTCATAACCTTTAGATTCCTACAACAGAAAACAAGATTCTTTTTTTTTTTTTTTTAAGAAAACAAATTTCTTGAACTCATACCTGTAGCCATCTCTAACCTTTGCCGCCTAACCCACTTGACACCTCTGTAAAGCTCACAGGAATGGTACTGACTTTGAAAAAGTAATCCAAATTCAAATTTTGGATTTCTTTTGTTGAAGCCAGTGGCCTCACTGCTCTTCTAACCATGTTTTACATATACAACCGCCCCACACAAGAGGAGATAAAACCAGGAGAACAGCAGACAATTCAGCTATTTAACTGTATAATGAAGCGCACACTTTTGGAGCCTTCCTCTCTCATCACCTCTACAAGGGGTGGGGCGCAGGAGGTTGACTGGAGAGGCAACATAAACATCCTCTGAGCATAGCAAACACTGTGGGTCTCAGCAGAGTCTGCTGGTCCCAGGCCAGAAAATTAAACTCTCTCTTAAATAAACTAATAGATGCCTCTCTAAAGGGCTTCTACTCTAATGGAAGTGGACTTAGCAGAAGTCACAGGAGGACAAGTGCAACCAGAGCTTGAGCAGCACTGAAGAGACAGGGCACAGAAGACGACACATCAGACAGCAATACAAACACCCAACCCCAGAGGGCATGCCTGATTTGCCACTGGGCAGTGTCTTTCAAAACCCTCCTCCCTGGTCTCCCTGGCCTCCTGTAAGACATTTGGGGCCAGCATCTTTTCCCAGCCTGCACGAACTCAACAGGTGGCACCATGAACAGAGTGGAATTAGACGGATCTTTAGGAATCAAAGATCTTTTATTTTTTAAAATCAGTGCTAAATGGGATTGTATTCTTTCTGCACAGTTCACTTGAAAAATTGGGGCCCAGGGATCCCTGGGTGGCGCAGCGGTTTGGCGCCTGCCTTTGGCCCAGGGCGCGATCCTGGAGACCCGGGATCGAATCCCACATCGGGCTCCCGGTGCATGGAGCCTGCTTCTCCCTCTGCCTGTGTCTCTGCCTCTCTCTCTCTGTGTGACTATCATAAATAAATAAAAAATTTAAAAAAAAAAAAAGAAAAGAAAAAGAAAAATTGGGGCCCAGAGTATTCGGCAAGGTGATGATGTCGAAGGAGGCAATGACCCATACAAACTGACATCCCTAAGCTGTCAGAACAACCCAGAGCTGCTGACAGGTGTGTGAAGGGACAATTGGTGGGAGCAGATCTGCAGTGATGACATGTCCCTGTGACATGGGAGAGAAGTGAGGGAGTCACACAGGCCCTTGGTAACATGTTCCTGTTCTGGGGGGAAAGATCCCAACTGTGTCAGAGCAGAAGTAGCTAGTTAGGAGTAAACAAGGTGAGGTCCATGAGCAAAGGCAGAGAGCAGGGCAGATCTGTTACATCTGAAGGACAGAGCAAGGGGTGGGGGGGAACTGAGGGCCCACAGAGGAGCCCCAAAGGCAGGACCAAGTAAGTCTTCCTTCCCTCTCCAACCCCACTGCACTCCATGCCATTCTGTACATCAGCTTCCTGGATTTCCCAGGCAGAGCTGAAATGAAATGACCAGGGCAAGTTAAAGAGTCACACAAGATTAGAAAGCTAAAGTGGGACAAGTGATGAAACATAAAGTTGCTGTTGGGGACACTGCCCTGGAGTGGGAGTCCAATACTTGTGGGTAGAGGCCTCCTCTCTACCCAATCCCAAGGCTTGAAATGCAGAAAGACAGGGTAAATGGAATGGAGTGCAGAGTGGATAGTAAGACCAAGAACAGAACTATTTGGGAGGAAAACATGGTTCCTGCTTCCACGTGTGTGAGGCCTCTTCTTTTCCAGCCTTATAGCCAGTCCCAGATTCCACACGAGGGGCAAAGTATGTCTGAGCCTGCAGGGGGCTGGGGATGGGGGATGCTAAGTGTGTATCTAGGGTCCCTGTGAGATACTCAAGGTCTGGGAGAAAAAAAAACAAGCCAGACATCTTGTGCTTTTGATGTGACTCCTGTTGGTGGGGAAAGTGTGAGAGGGAGTGGTGATCTTGTCCACTGCTCTAAAGGACAGAGGGAGGGGCGGCAGGGAGTGGAAGGGAATGCCTGGCCTCTCAGTGCTCGGGATGCGGACGCTGAGGAGGGATCCTTAAAGCTGTGTCAGGAAGGGACAACCTAAGACGCTGGATGTACATCTAAGTAACTAAGAAAGGATTAGGGAGTTTGAGAACTGAAGCAGTTAGAAATGAAAGTAGGGCCCAAATCTCACCATAAGAGATGCAAGGGGTGAGGTGCCCTACTCTCCAGAGCTGATCTAGCTTCTGAGGGTGAGAAGAAGGTGGTGGTGAGGGGCAGACTGGGGCATCCCGCGTGTGTGTGGAGTGGGTGGCTAAGAGGGTATCTACTCTGATGAAGCAGAAGAGAACCGAAGGGGCAGGAAGGCAGCCAGGCCCAGTTCTCACAGGAAGCTAATGTGCAGGATGATGTGGAGGGTGAAAGCAAGCCAGGGAAGGGGCAGGGAAGATGAACACAGGCTCCCCCAAAGAATTACGCAGTAGGCAAGGCCCAGGAGTCCCAGGGCTCAGTGGGCGTGGACAAGGCCCCCAGCTCCCAGAGGCAGCCTGAGGATGGGCGAGCAGAAGGGGCTGATCCTGTAGGGAGGGCAGCTGTTGGGGAGGTAATCTTACCTGGCCCTCACATCCCAGCTGCAGGAGTGCACCTGGGGGTGGGGGTGGGGGTGGGGTGGGGATGGGGGTGAGCGAGCGGGAGGGGATGGGGCGGCTGCTGGCTGTTTCCCAGAACCAGAGCTAGGGATGACAGCGGCGGGTGGGAGCCGCACGGAGCCCTTCAGTGAAAGGTGAAAGCCGTGTGGAGTGAAGGAAGGGCCCCTGAGGGGGGCTGAACAGGTCGAAGCTCACCGTGTACGCGCGCTCGGATTCAGATTCACCCGTGGAGGCTCGAGTGGAGCCCCACCCCACCCCACCCCACCGCACCCCACCCCCCCTCCCGCCAGCGGAGTCCTCAGCGGAGCGCCGCCCGGGTCTCAGCGTCAGGACCGCACGATCCAGGCTGTGCTGAAGCAAGCTTCCGTCCTCGGGCTTCCGAATCCTGTAGTCCCAGCTGTGTCGTGAGGGGCGCCGGGCCGGGCACCCCGCACCGCTCCCTGGACCGACGGTGTCGGCAGCCCCCGGGGCCCGGACTCGGGCGAGGCAGCGTCAGGCCCGCGCCCCGGACCCGGGCAGAAGACCCCCCCCCACCCCCACGCCACCCCCGCCACGGCTGGCTCTCCGGCCTACCTGGTCGCCGGTCCCCACGCTGTAGTAGCCGTGCGTCACCACCTCCCAGTGCAGAAAGCAGACGAGCGCGTCCTGCGCGGAGGTGATGGCCGGCGCCACCGACGCGAACAGGACCTCCAAGCCCGCCATGCTCGCCCCCGGTTTCTGCGGGCGAAGGAAAGGAGACGGTGCCGTGAGCCCACTCGGCCCCGCGACTGCCGAGGACGCCCCTCCGAGACTCCGCCCGCCCAGGCCTAGTCTCCACCTGCGGCCAAAATGGAGCCGCCCGGGGGCGGAGCGCGGCCGCCGGAAGTAGCTCCGAGCGCCGGCTCAGCAGCGCGAGCGCGCCGGCTGGAAACCCGAGCGCGGCACTTAAAGGTTCTGCTAGGCATCTCGCGGGCGGGGCGGGGCGGGGCGGTGGCGTGGTCCTTTAAGGCGGGAGTCTCCCTTTCCCGCGTAGCCGGGAGGGACCGCCCCCCGCAGGATGTTCAGTTAGAGCCCCGAGGAGAGGCCACCTGGTTCTGAGCCGCAGACGACCCAGCCGCAGAACGAGGCGGGCATCTGCTGGTGGGGGGAGAGTTGATGAAATGTGGGCAACATAGATCCGTAATAACAGCCTGCACGTATGCGGTGCTTCCTGCGGGCCGCATTATTCTGAATGGCTTCCTTGTACTCATTAATTTAATCCTCGCGGCCTGACCCTCTGAAGTTGGAGTTCATGATAGCCTCGTTTTACAGAGGGGTGAATTTCACCGAGATGGCACAGCCAGCCAGCCGGTGCGTGGCAGAGATGGTACTGGAACTTAGCAGTCTAGCTCCCGGGATGACGCTTCCTCAATGTGTATTGTGTGCTGGATCCTGTGCCAAAACCTTTACGGCGCCCTGTCCGCAGCTCTGTGAGGCGTGTTCCACGATCATCCCCATTCTGAAGATGACAGAACCAGCTCAGAGAACGGAAGTCGCTTCCTCCAAGGAGACACAGTTGCTGCCCACAGAGCTGGAGCTCCCGATCCACTACCAAATTTCGATCGTTTTTAATTTCCTGTCTCCATGATTTTTACCACCTACTATTTCTTCAACAAGTTTCTAAAAATATATACATACAACCCCCCCCCCCCCGCCAAGTTTCTCGATTCCACTTATGGTTTCTGCTCAGATAAATTTAGTTTTCCCATTGCAGTCAGCACACTGTGGGGAGCCACTATCATCTCTTGTTTGGATGTCTGCACCAGCCTCTGAACCGCCCTAGTCCATCTTTGTCTCCCTGAAGTCTGTTCTGTACTCTGTGAACACACACCAAGTGACGTCACTCTTCTGCTTAAAACCCTCCCGGGGCTCCCACCATACTCAGGGAAAGAAAGTCCTCTCCCTGGTCTGCAGAGACCTCCATATGGTCTGTGCCCCCACCCCACCCCACCTTAAGTCTCTCTGACATCACCTCTTCCAACTCTTCCCTCATCCCCTGCACTCTTAACTGCAATTACCTTGACTTCCGTCCTCTCGTGCCCACAAATTCAAAAGCAAAGCAGCTAGTCAACTTTACCGTCTGAATCTGAATTCTGAATCTGACCACTTCCCACCACCTGTGCTGCCTCCACTCTGGTCTGATCCTCTGGCATCTCGTACTTGGACGATTGCAGTAGCTTCCTAACCAGGCTTCCACTTTCACATGTTCTGTTCTCCAGGTCTTTGCCTTTACTGCTATCTCTGCCAGGAATGCTCTTTCCCCAAATATCTGCATGGTTCACTCCTTCATTTTAAGTGACTCTTTCTCTCACCTCCTACTGGCCTCCCCAGATGGCTTCCCTGACATCCATCCAAAATAACGTGTAATACTCTTTAATCCCTTCCTTATCCTGGTTTCTTTCCTGCGAAGCATTAATCATAACCTGACCTTATAACAGGTATTTGTATGTTTGCTTGTTTATTTAATAACTGTCTTCCCATTAGACTGTGACGAGGGAGCAGAGACCAAGTCTGTCTAGTGCACAGGTATACTCAAGTGCCTTCCTGGCTCAACATATACATATTGAATGAATGAGTAAATGAATGTTGAGTGAATGAATTATTGGTGTGGGCTCAACGTAACTGGGCCAGTCTCACCCCTCTGTGGCTCACCACTCACTTTGTTAGCTGGCCCCATACTGCTCCAAATTTTGTGTTCCTGGGACTCCTCTGGGACGCCCAGATTCCTGAACCCCATCTGCAGAGACTCTGAGTGTCTGAGGTAAAGTGCAGGTATGTTTACCACAATCTAGGTGGTGCTAAAGCTGGTGGACTCCTGAGATATACTGCCTGTGGCCTAAAAGCTGTTTACCCTTTCCACTAAGAAGCTCTGCACTTTTAAGCATCCCTGCTTTTGCTTGCTTTGTCTCTTCTGCTTTAAGTATCCTTCCCCAAAGGGAATAAAGGGGAAAGGAGAGAAAATGAGTGAAAATATCAGTGAGGGTGACAGAACATGAGAGACTCCTAACTCTAGGAAACAAACAAGGGGTAGTGGAAAGGGAGGTGGGCAGGGAGTTGGGGTGACTGGGTGACGGGCACTGAGGGGGGCGCTTGACGGGATGAGCACTTGGTGATATGCCATATGTTGGTAAATTGAACTCCAATAAAAAAAAGTATCCTTCCCCAGTTATTGAAAATTCCACCAATCCATTCACTCAGTCATTCATTTATTGATTTGCTAAATATCCAGAGGCTGAGTTACCATGGATGGTGATGCAATCTGTGCACAGCACAAAGGTGCCCACCCAATGGCAGCCCTATTCCTAAATGCTCAGGTGAACAAGCTGCAGTTCCTGCCACTATGGAGCCCACTGTCTAGAGATAAAGAAAATTATATACAAAGGAACCCAATGTGAAGACCATCATAACATTGGGGCACGTGGAAGTCTGTGTGAGCCGAGAGGAGACATCTAATTCAGACCAGGGGTCAGGGAGGGCTTCTTGGAGGAGGAGGTGCCCAACTACACTAAACCATGATGGAAGAGTAGGAGGGAGTTGAGGCACAAATGGTATCCCCATAGAAGGGACTGACACATGCAAAGGTATGGAGGTGTGATAGAAGATCAATGCTGCCTCTTGAGTGAGGCCTTCCCCCATCTCCTCTGTCCACAATCAATTTCTCTGTCTTCAATTGGCATCAGTGGGGTGCTAAAGAACAGGCACGGGATGTCAAGAGCCATCAGGGGAGGGGAAGGAGATGAGGAGGAGAATCTTATAATTGAAACATTAGAATGGCTGGTTTATAATTAAAAGCAGACTGGTCAGTTTTATTATTACTTTTAACTTTCTTACAGAAGATGCACCGCCTCATTGCTTGTACTGGGGCAGATAGCAGATAGCTCCCTTACCCATCCTTAGTGGTTCAGCCACTGCTTTGCATACAATTGGTTATAGCTTAAGTCTCACAGAACTTTGGTTCCCTGTAATACATCATCATCCCCGTGTTAGTCAGTGTCCCCTGAGAAGCTAACATGAGACAGGGATTTGACTGGTTTATTTGGGAGCTGATTCTAGGAAATAGCAGCAAGAGGGTAGAGAAGTGTACTAGGAAGCAGCCACTAGGTGTTATGTGATGAAGCCAGGTCCCTCTGGGCACCTGAGCTCAGTCCTGACCAGAAACTCTGGGAGAGACATGTCCCAGTTTTGTCCTGACTGAGGGTAAGAGAATTAAGGTTTTTTTTGTTTTTTTGTTTTTTTCACTCCCTCGTTGAGGGCTGCTTCTGGGGGGCATGAAAAGCCCTCAGATAGAGAATCATAGAGTTTAAAGGAAGTAACCTTTGGTGCTTAGAGATGACTAAGGAGTGAGCTGGACACCATGGCATCTGCTATTCATTCCCCAGCCCCCCTCCCCAAGGGCGAGCCATGCCTTTGGTAGTTTGTGTCCTAGTACGCAGCATGGAGTAGTTACTGGCACCTGTGTATTGCTAGAATGAGGTAAGCTCTGTCTCTTGCATTATGCTGTGTGCCCTTTAGGCTGATACTGTGTTCTGTCCACCCCTGAACCCCAGGGCCCTCCATGGATGAGAATAAATGAGAGGATCCTTTGGGACCAGAGGGTTGCCTGTGTCCTGCCCTTCGTCCATTTGGCACTTTCTGTGGACCTAACCACTATCAAGAGTCTTGGTTGTCCCTGTGAGGCCTGTGATTGGCTGAGAAGGGAAGCAGATGGAAGGTGCCTCCCCAAGTGGGCCCCTGCTACCCGGGCAGTGCAGAGCCCATGCCAGAGATGAGGGCTCAGGGTGATGAAAAGAATATGGGAGGTGGCTGCAGCCACCAGCATCTGGTTGCCAAGTGACAGCAATGTGAGGATCTCAAGCTCCCTGGAAACTGTCTCCCTGGAAACTGTGAAGAGGTGAGTGGAAGGGCAGGGCCCAAATGGGCACTGAGATGGAGTTATTCAATACTGTAGGCCTTCTGCTTTTTTGGCCTAGCATCATTCTAACACCCTCACCTCCTCCAGGAATCCCTCTATGATTAGTAGTGTTCAGTACTGGAACCCACTGGATGGGTTGGAATGCAAAGATTAGGGAAAGGCAGCTTTCACAGGGTCTGGAAGTTTCAGGAACTGCAGGAGAGCACCAGCAATGATCACAGCTGCCTCTTGTCCTAAGGCAGTATTCAGGGTGAAATCTGCAGGAAGTGGCTGCAAACCTAAACTGAGACTCTGGATCCACTGCTATTGGAGAGGGTATAAGGTGCTTCTGCTGCCTCCCATTGGCTGGATCTAACCCAGAATCCTGCTGGCAAGACATTCTGGAAAAGGGTGGGTAGGAAGGGGATGGTATTGTTTTTTAAGATTTTATTTATTTATTCATGAGAGACACAGAGAGAGAGGCAGAGACACGGCAGAGGGAGAAGCAGGCTCCATGCAGGGAGCCCGATGTGGGACTCGATCTCGGGACTCCAGGATCACGCCCTGGGCCAAAGGCAGACACTTAACCGCTGGGCCACCCAGGTGTCCCAAGAAGGGGATGGTATTGAGTCTTTAACAGACAATTTGACCAATTTTATCTTATTTAATTCCCTTAACTCTTTAAGGTGGAAACTATTAGGACCTTTGTTTTAAAGTGAGATGAGTGAGCACAGTCAGGTTGTACAATTGCTCCTAAGTGATGCAGTCAGGATTTGAACCAGATGGTAGTATAGTGTAGTATAGTATAGACATACACTGCTTCGCCGCATGGCTGTGCCCCATGATGGCATCGAAGGGGCTTGCAGACACACAAGCTCCGTGTTCTGAGGTCTACGCCAGAACAGGTGAGAGAGCTGAGTTTTTCAGACTTTAGCTGGAGGCTC